ATTTTCCACGTCTTGAACAGTGTTTAGTTTCATGGATGAGGCAGTGTCGAGGACAGAATATTCCGATGGGTGGCTCTTTATTGAAGGAAAAGGCTAAAACATTCGTCAAAGAATTAGGAATTGAGTTTTCGGCTAGCGAGGGACGGCTTACAAATTTTAAGAAAAGGAATGGGATAGTCTTCAAAAAAATGTGCGGAGAAAGCTCAAGTGTCGACATTAACGTTTGATCTAAGTGACAGAACTCGCTTTCGGATCTAATAAAGGAGTACGAACCACGTAACATTTTCAACACGGATGAAACCGGACTCTTTTTCAAGTGTTTGCCAGAAAAAGCATTTAAATTCAAAAAAGAAAATGCCATGGAGGAAAACATAGCAAGGAGAGGTTAGCTATTTTACTGGCTGTAAGCATGGACGGCTCAGAAAAGATTACTCCTCTCGTTATAGGAAAATCTGCAAAACCTCGGTGTTTCACAAGGGCATAAACTCGTTCCCTACCAAATACCACTCAAACAAGAAGGCAGGGATGACCACCAAACTCTTTAATGAATGGCTGGTCTCAATGAACTCGGATATGAAAACAGAGAAACGACATATTTTCTTATTTTTAGACAACTGTACTGTGCACAATAACGCACCACCTTTATCAAAGGGAAACTTCAATTTTTCCCTCCACAAACTCAACCTCAAAACTTCAGCCACTCGACCAGGGTATCATACATAATTTTAAAACTTTTTATCGGCGTGAAGTCGTTAAAAGCGTTTTGGATAACCTCGAAAATCAGCAGAATGTAACTATTTCTATTTTAACAGCTTTGATCATGATTGACAAGGCTTGGAGAGCTGTTACTCCTTTGACAATTCACAGCTGTTTTAAAGTCAGACTTCCCTTCGCCGAATCTGGTTGATGTGGACGATACGCTCACTGAATTTAATGCTGAACCATCCCTTTGGGAAGCTCTTCCAGAACAAGATTTGACGTTTGACGACTACGTGTTGGTTGACACGGACATTGCTGTATTGGGACGAATCTATCTGACGCTGAAATGGTGGCTTTGGACCACAATAATACAGAAAGTGATGAAGACGAATCGGAGGAGTTGACTCCGGTAACTCTGTCAGAAGATAAAGAGTCACTGAACAAACTACGTAACTTTTCCCTTCAAAATCATGTTGATGCGGAAATTTTACAGGCTTCATTTGTTCTAGAAAAATCTATTGACAAAGTTAGATTGAATGCCTTAAAACAAAAAAATATAACAGATTTTTTTCGACAAAAAGGATTAATTATATATAGTATGTATACTCTTTTAATAGTTGTTTTCAAGACATAAGTGTATTCTTTTAATATAGGACTTATAACTTCTGTTTTATTTTTATACTGTATAAAATGTACTTTAAAAAAATTACGTACAATTGTTGCTTTATAACATAGTTTTAAATTTAAATGTGTTAGAAAAAACTTCTCTTCGTGTATTTTGAGAGTTTTTTCCTACCCTCTTGTGATAATTCGAAGTTTTTCATTGGTCCCTCCAACTTCGAATTATCGAGAGTCGACTGTATATATATATATATATATGATATACCGTAATATGTTCGAAATTTATGGGTGCGCCTTATACGCTAGATATAAAAATGAAAATAAGAGAAGAGCATAAAAAAAAATGTTGGATATCTACGTACATCAGAATACCGTATATTTAAAAGAAAATAACGTAACATGTACTTTTTTTTTTTCTTATGGGGCTGCTATTGGTATTTTAGCCTTTGCAGACCTAGTACATTTCCCAGGAATTGGTATCTCTTTTAAGCGCGGCACCATTTAGGCGATACCAATTACCGCAAGTAATTTTGACACCCAGTTTCTTTATCAGAGGGAGGCACCTGAGCTCTTGAAGATGCGAACCTATACCAGGATTTAATTTTGCCGAGAGTGACTTATGAACTTAAGGGGTTGTAGTTCTAGAAATAAACTATTTCTTCAAACTCAGATTCAGTGGTGCAACATCCCATGAGGGTCAGTGCCTACTATGCCCATCCCAGCATACGTGACCATTGGGCGCTGAGGTGCATGAACAGATGTCCCGATCAGGTGGTCAGTCTGAAGTGAGACCCCAGCGCTTAAGTCCCGAAGCAAGCTTGGTACTCATTTATCGACCCACTGCAGGGTCGACCTTGCCCAGCCAGGGACTAGAACCCGGACCTGTGGTGTGGAAGCGCAATAAGCTACTATTCGACAACTGGGCCTTCTCTTTTTCTTCAAATGCATGGGATAATACCTAGAATAAATGCTTTCAAAACGTAAGAGCATCACACGCGTGCATTGCAGCATTCTTCGTAAAAAAGAGAAGTGCGCATTATACGGCGTATATAACTAAAAATAATTTCAAGAAAAAACTATATACAAATTTCAAGAAAAAAATATTTAAATGCAATTTTTATGCAAAAAAATGAACAATGACATATTTTCAAAACCTTCTTTTATGAAAAAATGCTTCTTTTATAATAATGTTTAGTTTATACATAACTAGAACGTCTATCATAGGTTGAACTAAAAATTTAAGGGACGTGGGTAGCCTAGTGGTTAGAGCATCGGTCTCCAGACCGGAAGGCATGGGTTCGATATTCGATGCCTCCAAATACCCTCCGAGTACACACGGAGTACGTGCTCATTAAATCAGTGTGTCCGAAAGTGTTGTGGGCTGAAATCACGAGTGCAGGGGACTGGAGAATATTTCCCTCCCCTTCAATTCCATGCCTAAATTAGGGAAGTTGAGATCGGTGGTGTCGCCGTCTATCGTCCCTTCGGGAATTTCTCCGAGCTAAATCGTACTGTCAACTGCATGGTGCTCAAGGCTGAGGCCAACGTCAGGTGTACATCTAGCCCCTTGCCACGATGAATTTCGTGGGCCTCAATCTGACTACGTCAGACAGGTGGCATTAGAAACAAAACCTAAAAATTTGAAGTATACAAATTAGAAGGGAATTTATATTGATGTTTTAATGTTTCAGAGTAGAGAAATTTTAATAAAAAAACAAACGGTATTCTTTTAATTGATCACCACTCTGAAAAGAATGTGAATTTTTCTACCTGTTCAACCCTGGTATAGAAGTCCTAGCTACTTACAAGGGAAATTTTATTATAGAGGTATTTTTCATAAAAGGATAATGTTTTGAAAATATATCATTCCTTTTTTTCGCTAAAAATTGCATTTAAATAATTTTTTCTTGTACTAATATTCTTGAAACAATTTTATATGTAAATTTTAATTCAAGCTAACTTTAAATATCAAAAAATATTCATTTTGCGACTTTTTGGAATCACGGTTCCGAATGCTGTCAGTCACAAAAAACAAGAGTAGATATTTATTACTCATGTACATTGCTCTCGCAACTTATAACATTTTAAACTCTGTTTTGTAGTTTGGCTGAATTAAGAATTAAAAAGTAAAGGGGCCTTTCCCTAAAGTTCGTTTTAAGAACTAAAACCATAAAAAGTAAAAAAGTACTTTCGACAGTAAAAGGATACTAAATTGGTCACAAGTTTTTTTTCGGCGTCAACTCCATTCCTATTCCCGAAGTGGCAATGATATCTAATCCCTTAGATCTATACTGAAGAGTTTTCCTCCCTAATTAGTCTGTCAGTCATCAAGATAAGAGACACCTTTTGAATATATGCTCTGCCAATGTGATTCTTCTTCAGCTGAAACGTATTTCAAAGTAATCTCTGTGTTAAAATAACTTAAAAAAAAGATACCTGGGGAATTTACTCTATGCTGAGTTAATTACCCTCCACCAAATTAGGGCGGGAAAGCAGTTGTTTTTCTTTGATACAGATCGTTGTTCTTGAAACTGCTTACATCCTGGCATTGCACATTTTTTTTTCTTTTTGTTTTTAGCTAATAAAAGAATTTTTTTTTAAATTAGGGTGTTTGTATAGTGAAAACTGAAATTGATATTAATAACTCAATATAAATAAACTGTTTACTATTACATGTAAGTATGAACAAAACGTATTTAACAATAATCTATATATCGTTTAATTTAATTTAAAATTAAAAACTAAATTACTTATAAATAATATTAACAATATCGAAGACATAGATAACAAAGAATTAAGGGAGGTTCCACACGGGGTAACTTTTACAAGTCAACTCGTTTTCTGTCACCACCCCTCTAATGTGCATTCCTTTTACACACGGACACAAAGTTAACTGAAAAAGACGTTCCGGATTCATAGTACAATCATTGAATCATTAAGTAATAATAAAACGCTTTCTCTATTCTCAATATACAAGTAGCTGCGTGTGTAGAGCGTAACTTCCACAATATCTCTTAGTTGAGTCACCTAGTGGGTTTACGTGGTAACCTAACGTGGGTTTTTGAGTACCAAAGGAATGCCACAGCAAGAAGTGCCATTTGACCAGGGGAGGGACCCAGACGATTTCTATTCAAAATTAATTTTGACTGTTTGCTTCTTCTGTTCTGTGCTGTAAGCGTTGATTCTTGTGAAAGGGCTTTTAATGTATTTCAATTAAAGACGTTCTTGGGATAGTGGCATCTGCCTCTTGTAAATTAAATCCTCAATGAGGTGACAAAAGTGATACTTGAGCTATTATCTATTTTTCGTTATGCATCACATTTCAGGCTGATGACCCCAATTCTATTTAATGAACAGTAGCGTTCAATGTTTTCACAAAGGAACAAGTAATATAAAAAAAAGCCAATTCCTACTTTGGTCAACAAAGAAAAATTTTATTTGAGTTACTTTTTATTAAATAGTTACAATTAATATAAATATGTATATACATATGACAGAATCACTCTATTAAGAGGTAAAATAGAAAGAGATTTTCCTTGCAATTTTCCATTTTCCTTTCTATATAGGGTGTTGGAATATTTGTTTTTGTTTGTGTGTGTTACTATTTATTCATTAATTAAGTTTAATTGTCCTAATAAAATAGTATAGAAGAAAAGAAATCACATTCTCAGAAATTAGGCCATCCCAGGTGGGATTCGAGCCCAAGACCTTTGGATTAGAAGTCCAATGCACTATCCATTGCTCCACAGGGACACAACGAACGATTTTCCTTTAAATATATGGTGTTGGACTATTATTTTAGTTTGTTACTACTTATTCATTTTTTTAAATTTAATTAATGAATTAGTATTTGAAAAAAACTGTGTTAACATCAAGTGTCATCCACTATAAGTTTAAAATAAATGGTATTTGAACTTCAATGAATTAATAGAAAGTATTTTATTAATGACTGAAAATTTGAACTATATATATAACTTAACTCAGTTTCGCGACAGCTCATGATGGCCAAGGCCTACTGTGCCCAACTCAGTATACGCGACCATGGGCCTTGAAGTGCATGAGCAGATGTTCCAATCAGGTGGTCAGTCTGATGCGAAACGCCAGCGTTAAGTTCCCAAGCAAGTTGGTTCTCATTTTATCGACACACTGAAGGGATGAAAGGCTGAGGAACTATATATATGTGTATATATTTATATATAGAGAGAATGAACTAATAATAGGAATTAAAAAAGGACTCGATCGAATGATACGACTCTTACATCTCAGCCACGAAACATGTAGTAGTAATCCTTGAGCTATCGCTTTCTAATATTCAAAAAGAGGAATTTTTCAAAAAATGTATTTTATAAGATTGTAATGATTCAGTGTGAGAAAATTATCAATGACAACCCCATTTCTCCTTAAAACTGCAAATGTCACTTAAGATAAGTGCTTGTTACAAATCCGTTCTCACTTAAGTCTAAGAGATTTTGATTAGTATATGTCAATATCCCAAGGAATTTCTACTACCTTTTTTATGTCTATGCTATTGTGTTCATTTGAAAGTAATTAATGTGGGTGAAAAAGTAAAATTCACTAATGAAGTTTTCGTGGAATAACATATTTTCCAGATTTTATAAGTATTTTCAAATATTTCTTAACGATCTAAAAATCCCTCAATGATTCATTAAAACAAAACGAAAGTGTTTTAAAAAAATTAATGGAAAGATGGGATTTTACAGAAACTGTGTGTTATTATTTTTTTTTTTCTTTTTTAGATTTGTACTTTTCTTTTTTTATTGCCTTCAAATTGAAAATTAATTTCATAGTTTAAAGTTGAGGCCCAGTGTTGTATAAGTTTAGTGGTATCAACAATACCGTCAAGAATTAAAAGGACTGGCAAACGGAAGCATTAAAACTGAATGAAAATGAAAAAAATATTGAATAGAAGAATTTTCAAATGCAAAAGAAAAAGCACAAATTGGTTCACTTTATTAGCGTACTGTTTTATCAAAGAGCAAAGTGTGCCCATTTATTGGACTTATATTCGGAATGTTTATATTAAGATAGATATAAAAATTTACTGATAAAGTGGGACAAAAGTGAATTTAAAAAATGAGTATTAGTGTTAGTTTTTCATACACTATTACTACACTTATATAAAACCTCTAACAATAAAGTCCGGTGAATGAAGTCAGAACAGCCAAATTGGCAACACTAGCGAAACAAAACGCTGCACATGTGTAGCGGCAGGTGTTGGCCACCTGCCCCCCACCGTTGTTCAGTTGAGCGTCTTTTGTGTTCCGTGTAAGAATTGTTTTACAAAATACTTTCTTAGCGCGTTGGTTCTTAATTGAGGATAGGAAAATGAACGAACAAAAGATCAGTTTAAAATTTTGTTTTAAGCTTGACAAGAGACAGAAATAAAGTTATGTGGCGCTGGTACGTGTTTATTCAGATCAACCACTGACCATGAAGTGCGTGTACGAGAGATTCGCCAGTTCGCCGGGAGAATGTTTCTGACAACCCCTATAGCGGAAGACCGGTGACCTCCAGTGACGAAAACATTAGAAAGTGAGAAAATTAATCATGAAAGATCGTTGATTAACCCTTCGCATGATGGCTGATAAACTGCAGATTAACCGTGAAGCCATGCGACAAATCGTTATCCAGAATTTAGGGAGGGGAAAATCGTGTAGTCGGCTTGAGCTACATCACTTGACTGACGATCAGAAGCAGGCATGTTTATAGGCTTCAAAGGATTTTGTCGAAGCGGTGGATGCGACATCAAATTTCTTGAACTATATTGTTACTGAGAATGAGTCCTGGTGTCTCAGGTACGACCTTGAAATGAACCGGCAAAGTTTGGAATAGGGTTCTCCCAGATCACTCCGTCGGAAAAAGGCCAGATCATAAAAATCACGCGCCAAAACGAGATGCTCATCACCTTTTTTTATAGTCAAGGCATTATCCAAAATTTCTACCTGAGAGAAGGACGGTAAATGCTGCAAGGTACATTGAAATTTCGACCAGTTTCATGAAACATCTACACAGGGTACGTTCCCAGAACGGACAACAAGGTTCATGGTTTTTTGTTCACGTCAATGCTCGTCCTCAAGCAACCAATATCGTTAAACAGTTACTGGCAAAACGGGGAGGTGCATATTGAACATCCACCATACTCGCCCACCAGACTTCTTCATTCTCTCATGACTCAAACTAGCTTTGAAAGGAAAGAGATTTGACGATGTTCCTGATATCAACGAAACGCGTGCGAGGCTTTTGAATTCCATCCCAAAAGAAAACTTCTTGAAAAGTTTCCAGGACATGTATAGCAAATCTCAATGGTGCATAGTTATGGGAGGTGACTATTTCGAAGGACAGTAAGTAACAAATTTCGGTAATATTTCATCTACTTAAATGTTACAGGACTATTCACCGAACTTTATATAAAAGAGTCAACATACTCTCAATGTTATTTTTCCAAATTATTATTATTATTGTTTTGCAGTTAAAACTACAATCACATCTTCAATACAGTAAAATAATAATAATAACTGATATGCCTTTAAAAAGAAGTATAACAATTTCGATCTGTGAAATGGATTATGTCTGTGCCTAAATACCAATAGTTTACATTACAGTCACAAATTGAATTCCTTCTATTATTAGTGAATGAAGAAGAAATCATTTGTAAAATGAATAAGGAATAAGAAATCATAAGGAAGAAATTATACGTGTTTAAACTGTGGTTGTAGATTATTATTATAATTTATATCATACTCAACTCGACACTAAAAATGCAACCTAGAAGAATGGCAGGAAATTACCCAAACTTTCGGCTAGATGTACCTTACTGAGTAATGCATATTATGTGAAATATGAAGTGTTTTCCTGTACATGTTGAGAACGTATAATGGAAGGTACCTGAAGAATGATCAATATAAGTACCATTATTTTTGACTGAGAAATCATTGTGGAATTTTCTCCTTGTATCAGAGGACTCATCTATCAGCAAGAGTGCCAGACCACAGCCAGTGGAGGTAGTTCCAGCAGACAGGAATGGTGATAAGAGACAGCGAAGGGTAGATTGGTCTACATGTCAAATCTTTGCTGACACTCACCTAGGTGCATCTACGGTGCTCCGTCTGTGGCAGAGATGACTGCAACAGCGAAATGTGACATTTGAGGAGTGCCGTGTGGCTCCATGAATCCACCGACAAGCGGTGGAAGCCATTAGGCATTTCAGCCGCCATTTTGCTACAGGTACACGATACTCTTGATGTTCTCATATCGACCAGAACTGTTATCTGGCAATATGTTGCTAGTAGCCTACATGCATTTCATCTATTAAGAAGAGTGTTATTGTCTCTGCAGCATAGATGAGCAATGTAGGCAGTGGAATGACATAATTGTGGTCTCAGATGAATCATGCTTCAACGTGTCCATTAATGTGTGTCGTGTACGAGTTAGGCGCCCACGTGGTAACATATCTGATTTGGCCTCACCTGTGAAAGCCCCACCGTGTGATAACATGGCATCATGTCATGGTGCGCCATCGCGTAAGAGATCATCTTTGGTTCGTATTCAAGGAACTACGATGACCCAACGATACGTGAATGATGCGCTGTGATCGTAACATTTCTTTTCCTTCGAGGGAATGAAATTTCCAATAGCCCTTAGTTGCAGGAAAAGGCCAAAAGCGCACTGCATACATCAACTAATGAGTTCTGCAAGATACATAAATGCTTCTCTAGTTACCATTTTTTCCTGATTTCTCACAATTCTAGCACGGCTATGACAAGATTGAACATTACTTGCATACTCTCCCACCACCGCGTTCAAAAGACGAACTGCGACAAATGGTTGGCAGGGAATGGAGGACACACCTCGGACGCCACCCGTTCTATCATTTGTTCCTAGACATGTCGCTTCGTGAATCCCCATCCAGGGTGGTCCAATGACCTATTGCAGCGTTTCTTAGACTGTGGGGGGCGTGACAACTCTACGGCATATTGAAAAGTCAAAAACAAAAGATTATTTTTAAAAATTATTAATTTACTGAAAGTAAACAAACAAAATACATTCTGACATAATAAAAAGTAAAATACACTTATAAATGTATCAGTGCTACACGATGTATGTTATGATGAATTTAACAATACTAAGTAAAGAACAAGTTTAATAATTAACAGTGACACCATGGGATTGTCATACATAAAAAAAATTATATGCAAAAATTAACATTAAACTTTATATGGTTTATATTTAATCCCTTAACTGCCGATTAAAAGTTATGCAATTCGCTTCCCAATGCCAACCGTTTTCCTCATAGGCACGCGTATATGATGTATTGGGGAGGGGGGAAGGAATAAAGAAGCAAATAATATGAAATAGGTAAATCTTTCGTAAATATTGTTAAGGTCCTTTTATTGCATTCCAAAGCCTTCGGAATAATTTTATACATAGCCTTGCAGAGAAAAGATCGTATTCAGAAAGACGTATATATACGTCAGGGGAAATTAACGCCTTGACTAAGCGAGACGTTTATATACGCCGGTGGTCCTTAAGAGGTTAAGGTCGTATCGTAGTTTTAGCGTCAAAGTACAGTATTATTTAATTCAATACTTTTTTTTTCTATGAGGGGGCGCGATGAAAATTATGATTTAATTTTGGGTCGTGAATATTGGAACTTTGAGAAGCACTCACCTATTGAGATGAAGATGTTCTCACTTCATGTTTGGAGTATCGTTTCAAAATATACACCTATTATT